ACTCTAACCATTCAAATGACTTCCAAGCACCTACTCAAGCATGATGTTCCATATACAGCCCCTCCCCGACTTACGACGGGGTTAGGGACCCAAAAGCAGGGCAAAAGTTGAAATGGTCGTAAGTTGAAAATGCTTAAATAATACATAGAAAATCTAAAATGGGTGTCTTTTTTCTTCTGATACACAAAACTCTCACTTTAAGCTACAGCCATTTTAAAGTGTTAACATATACATATATATATATTAACACACACACACACACACACATACACACATACATATAATATACATACATATATATATATAATATACATATATATTATATATATATTATATAATATATATATTATTATATATATATATATTATATATATATATATATATATATATATATATATATATATATATATATATATATATATATAATAATAATAATAATAATAATAATAATAATATTATATAGTTATATATTATTAATATTAATAATAAATAATATAATAATAAAAGAAATACAAAATTAAAAAAGATCAAAGTGAGAAAACAATATATGTATGTTGTGTTGTAAATAGTAAGAGAAACAATGGAGACCTCCTGCAATTGGCGTGTAAATGAGGCAGAAAGTTGCTTCAATTGGTAAATAATAGGGTCACTAGGCGCCCACTAAGGGCGCTTACCTTTGAGGTGATAAAACAGCAACCTCATTTGCTGGGGTATAAGTTTCTTTGGTTAAGTTGGTGCGGTCTTCTGACAATGCTTCGACCACTAATGTTTCTTATGAACTGAGGTTAGGTTAGGTTTAATCTAGAAATAACCCCATTTTAACACATTTACCCAAAGTACTTAGAGAAGACATCTCCATAAAAGGCTTCAACCTCCATCATTGTTATTCCTTAATACCCGTTGACTATGCCATCCCTTCTTACAAAAGAAAAGAATAAGCCATAATATAATAATCCTGAGGAATAGCTATAAATTTTAACCATGATAAAATAAAATACATATTTTTATATACAATGAATTAAGATTAATGTACCAATGAACGGCAACAAATAAATCCTACCAAATACGGTAGCTATCACTCGTACTGTAAATTAAGTTTTATATGTAAAGTGAGTATTCTGTGTATTACCTAACTCATTTTACGTTTTGTACATAAATTTACAGCTAAAGTATTTATTACAGTATCAGAAGCAAGTAGAGAGAGAATCAACAAAATTGGAAATATATGTAAAATGTAAAAAAATAAATTATCAAAAGTTTACAGGTCATTGGCATGAGAGGTGTTGCGCAAGACACTGACAAGCTTGCGCTTTAAAAATGAGAAATCGAGAGTCAACGTTTCTCAACATGGAACAGCGCGTACCACCACCACACAGGTGGATTTTAACGAACAAGGTTTCATATGGGTACCGGTGTTATTTAGTTTCGGTCATCCGCGGAATTTTCGGAATATAACTATTGGAATCAGTAGTTTAGACAATTGTAGGGCAGTTTTCCTCAATGACGTTTTCACACGCAAACGAATTACATATGTGGGGGGGGGGGGGTTACAAAGTTAGGTCAGGTCATATATTTGGGAAGCACAGAAGAAAGGGGTCTTAAAAAGTGTCTAAACTACGGATTCCTATAGTTCAATTCCTAAGATTCCCTGGGTGACCGGAATACAATAAACACTTCCATTTACATTCAAACTTGGGCTATTTTTTATTAACATATTGGTAATGGTTGAGTCATATTTGAAAACAACATTAATATTTAGTAATTTGAGGGACCGAACTAGTCACATCGCCCCCTTTCTCTTAAGCTCCTCTACGTGTGTGTGTGTTGGTGTGGGGATTAGTGGATGACAACATTATGACCTGACCTCATGTTTAATAAGGTCACCCTGTATATTTAAGCCTCTCTGTCCCTGTAATCCAGTTGCCTCTGAAGATGTCTTGAATAAAGACGAAAGCTAAGGTGCTCTGTTGTTTCTCTTTCCCCGTGTGATATTATCAATACATATATATATATATATATATATATATATATATATATATATATATATATATATATATATATATATATATATATATATATATATATATATATATATATATATCCTACCAAATACGGTAGCTATCACTTGTACTGCAAATTAAGTTTTAAATATAAAGTGAGTATTCTGTGTATTACCTAACTCATTTTACGTTTTGTACATGGATATCTTAGGAATTTAAACTTCGCAATCAATAGTTTAGAATTTAGATCATGACATTTTACTTCTATGACGTTTTCCTCGCAAACGACTTGTATATGCCTGGGAGTCTATGGGAGCAGAGCCTCCTGGTTATGTTTAAGAATTAACTGAACTATTGATTGCAAAGATAAAATTCCTAAGATTCTCATATTATCCAAAGTTAAAATTTACCACTATTTCTACTAACACTTACTGTACAATGATTGCCCAGTGCTCGCCCGGTTGTGGTGTGGGGGGGTTGCTGGCGAGGCAAATCAGTGTCTTACTTGGGTTATCCATGGTGCAGCTGCATTTCACATTCGAACTCACAAGCTTAGATAGTCATTTTGCTGGTTGAAGGTGCCTATAGCCTACATCTTGTCCATATTTGCATTACCAAAGCAGTCACAAGCACACGCAGGCTCCACAACACGGGCAACAACTATGTACCCTCTGTTCGATTTTCTCTATGATGCCACACCAAATAGGATAGCTCTCCACATTTCTTATATGTTTCTGTGAATATCCAGACGCCACTGGCTGATTATCACTATCTGAGGAACTCACTACTCCCGAATATTAAGCGCAAAAATACACCAGGGGAGAGCACAATAGCTGCCACACGAAAATTTTTAACAATATTCCAAGCGTCTGCGTCTCACTAAACGTTCATTGGCTGGCGGCATCTTGAGGCTGCGCTGATTGGCCGTTGGTGTGAGGGACACTGACCCGCTTGTCACTGTCTTACAACCAATTAGCGGATTTCTATAGCCTGCATAACACTGGAATTTCAGTAGGACAATAAAGAACAGTGACTTTCTCACCCACACCATTCTCTAGACTAGAGCAAGCAGGAGACTCTGGCCATAAGAAACGTGTTTTCACAATTCATATGGGCCCACTGTCTTACGCAACACTATACTGTATGTGAAACTAAGGACACTTGATAGTTGCATCAAATTTAAAAAAAATAGTATGTAAAATATAATTATATCGGTAATAATAATTATAGTCTGATAAAGTCAGTAGTATTACTTGTAATTAATGTTACCCATTAAGGTATTGAGCTAAACGCAAGAATTCACCTTGAGAACACAGTAAGCAATACTTGTTTTTTCATCCTTGTTCTGAGGTTAATATTTTGAATAACTGCTATAACCTGTACCTGTTATGAATTCTAGTGATGAATAGAATTTAAAGTATAATTTTATATAGCCTGACGCCCGACTCGGATAAATCATGTTCAGTCGAATAAGTCTATTTCTGTACATGTTCCCAGGATATTGATGAATGCCGGGGACTACCAGAAATTAGTTCATACTTTCCTGGCATATTTGGGTCTCAAAAAGAAGTTAGTGGATATAAGATTTCCACTGAAAGCTGTATGATGTCTTTGCTTCCTCATTTGACTGCTACAAGTACAGAACAGCTTTATTCCTGGATCAGTCACCTCAGTTCTGGTATTTTGAACAAACAGAGCAGATGTACGCTTAACTGTTCCTGCAGGAGTCCAAATGTTACCTCTTCAAGAGCTGTGAAGCGTAACAGGTTAGAGTGGTAGCAAATATGTACAGTCTCCAGTAGTAACTTTAATAGCCATCAGGTCTTTTTAGAGACCCGCATATGATGGGAAAGTAAAAAGTAAATTTTGGATAAATTTTATTCACCAGCAGGTGGGCTACATTAATCGCCCAATCAAGGCTTCGTAGGAAATTAGATTTAAGGCTTAAACCCTCGTGACATTTCATATGAAATGAATGAAACATAGAATTAATAAAAAAATAGCTTTAAAGTAATATTAGTTTATATCCATATAGGTGATAGGACTTTTTCTCACAGAATACGTACCTGTATATACACCAAGCCTCTTTCTAATGTATTGTAGGTCTTACCGGAATGTTTCTTTTGACTTGATTGATTAAAAATATTAGCCTTGTTAAGTTTATAAGAACTTGGCTATCTTCTCAACAAGTGTCATAAGAGGCCCAAGTATCTGTTGACAACTTTATATATAAATTACAATATCCCTGAAAGCCACCACATATGTACAAGTCTTCATGGCACTGTATAAAGCTCTAGCATAGAATATCTCTCAGACCATGGTTGGTGTTGTACTGTCTAGAGTGATTTCACTATAGATATTATCATCCTTTTCTTTCCGAATTCTTGGTGTTGGTTTTGGGGGGCGGCTGGCCGTGGAGGAGACAGTATCAGTCCCTGAGGCTGATATCCGGATAATTGCTGTGTGATTACCTTTAATAGGCAACTCGTCATTACCATGGGCATGGTTATTATTACACTGACATACACATTCTGGTTCATCTATACGATACCTCTTATGGTCCCGTTTCATTGCTCGAAGAGTCTTCTTCTCATTGGATTTGTCTGCTGTCTTACGAGGCACCACCATATAGCCATAGTAGTTGAGCATTCCTGGGTAGTAAGTGCCATAGGGAAACTGGCATTCATTGTTAAAAACTTTTAAAAGCTCAGCATTAACTTGACGTTTTCTCTGTCTGACTGTAGGTGGAACAGGAAAGCTGGGTAGATGTGAACTACATATACTGGCTGTTGAGTCTTGTGTTGACGAGAGAGAGCTTGAGCAAGTTGACATTGGTTGTAATGGCATAACTGGTGGTGGCTGTCCCATCACTGGTGTAGGAGTAGATGAAGACACCTCCTTGGTGCGGCCACGTAGCAAAGTGAAGACCACAAATACAATGGAAGAGAAACAGAACACCGCAGCCACTCCCAGGGTTATGAACAAGTAGAGACGACATTCCTGAGCTTCAATGGATTCCTGACGAACTTTAGTATCTGTTGAGAAAAGTACATTTTAGTTCTGGTAAATAAATAAACAAGGTTTGGGAAAGATAATAGAAATTTCATTTGCAATATATCAAATTACTGCAAACCTAACCTTACTGGGGAGGGCGGGAGATGAGTCTGGATTTTCATGCAGGTTTTTCACGTGACCAAAAACATAACTATTGTATACATATACACCTCCATATTAAATATACATTCATCATACCCAGTTAAATCCATATTTTGTAATACACTATAATAACAACAAAAACATACTTATTACACGAGCTACCTGCAGACCTTTGTATACTCCCTGATGCTAAGCTAAGCAAGTGAAGTGGAGGCTAAGAGTAGTTTATTAACATTTCTTGTGTGCTTCGATACTCGTTTTAGCCTTACACCGACACCACTTTAAGATGATGAAATCAAAAGTACTGTACAGGCCAAAAAACAAAACACAGAAATAGTACTACAGCACCGGTACAATATATTGTACAAGTGTCTACAAGTTTGCGTGTGCACGGACGGTTATTTATTATGAAGTTCCGACACGCTAATTTTCAATTCCAAAAGTGTGTTTTCACTTCATAAGAATGACATCTATAACTTAAATGTATCAATTAATTACCAAATAAAAGAAGTGATTTTTTTTAAACATCATTGATTACCAGAACCTATAGCGTAATTCTGAACAAAATTGAAATTTTATAAGATATAAAAGGGAGGCGCGTTTATTTTCTCTCTCTCTCTGGTGGCCATCATGTGAGTTCTCATAATTTTTAATGATATTGGACAAGTGTATTACTAAGCTTGTTACATGCTTAATTAAAATCCTTAGTTGTTGAAACGCAGTAATAACATTACAAAAACAAGTGGCGGGTATATTTCGCATGTCTCCTTGATTGCCGCTCAACTGAAATTTATTTGCTTTTGTGATTTTATTTTTCTTCAAATACTGTAACATTAAAAAACTTTCCAATAGTAAAATATTTCGGTTATAAAAATTATCGTAATTGTTGTAAATCGAAACTGTGTTGTTTGAATCCTGATTTCCAGTTTAATGGAAGCTTTCTTGACAATATTTTCTTAGGGATTATTTTCTTGAGAATAAAAAATACAACATTTTAATTAGAAAATAAATTACAAATACCATAAGATAAGTTCTCCTAGCAAGCAGATTTGAATGTGCTCTTTACATTTTCAGGAATATAACAGTAAAGCTAAAGTATACGATAAATGGATTTCAACCTCACCTGGAATTTTCACCCTGACGGACAAGTTCCTCTCCCAGTTAGTGGTGTTCTCATGCTGCTTGCGGGTGTGGCTGGAGGGCGCAGATGGCATCGTGGAGGAGGAGGAGGAGGAGAAAGTGGATAGGATAGGAGGTGGGTAGGGAGGACCTGAGGAGGAGGATATATCTGAGGCAGGGATAACTGTGGTCATAGTGAACTGGCCCACTGCACGCTTTCTCCTTTTGCCGAATCCAAGAAGGTCATCGTCCCCTGGCCCACAGTTAGTCTGACACAAGATGAAAGACATAAATCACTTTCTGTTCTTTAGTTTATTTGTAAAATCTAAATTATCACCATAAACTTATATTTTTCAGTCCAGAATAGAATGGCAATTTTTATTATTATTATTTTTTGGGGTGGGTTATATTTGAGATTTTCCATTGTACTTTGCTTTTCTGGAATGTTTATGGTACATTTCTGAGCGAAACCTAAACAAAAATTAAATAATATTTTAGATTAATAACATTAAAAACAATTTTCGACAAACATATCAAAATCTTCATTGAAGTAGGTTTATTTTAGTCATACTCTTGGACTCCATAGACTTACTCTTCACCTACAGTTACCTGAGCATCTAGCCTAATAAACTTTACATATACCTGTGAATTTACCAAATCAAATCCAATTCATGCAAGGCTAACCACATACCGGTGCACAGTCTTCTGCGTCTACACATCCAATCACATTAGCAGTGATCATGAGACTGTCGCCAACTTCCATGTCTTGAAACATAAACATCCGGAAGGTGAAGTTGTTGATCAGTGGGTTACGTGTGTCTCTCTTAGGGTGCTGGCGAGCGATTACCTACACGACCAGACACATTAGTTTGATAAGATCTTAATGCAATACAGACATAAAGTACACAGACCTGAAACTAAATTAACAAAAAAGTCAAATTGATAACATTATCCCTAATTATAATAAAGATAACATGGAGAAAAATTCCCTGCAGGCCGCACCTTGTAAGAAGGGTTGCGACAGCCGTCAGCAAACACCAGGTCAGCAGCATTGAGGATGGAGCGTGCACGGGGCGCCCCCACCTTCTGGATGATGATGGTGGTGATGCGGCTATACTGCCACCCTGTACACACATTATACATGAATGAACACGGTAGAACACATATTAAGTGGTTACGAATGAAACTTGAAAAATGTTGAGATATTTTGGACAGTCACAACAATTATGTGACTTAAAGTTACTAAACCCTTAACACGCTCCCAGTTTTAAGAACAAGTAACAGACTATTGTACTATAAATGTCAAATATTCTTACCGTCTCCGGACCTCACAATGGACCTTAGCTGCACCTCCTCCCCCAGGTCAAGCTCCACCTCTGGTGTCACTATGGAGGCAAAGAGTTCTGTGCCAGGCAGCTTCCTGAAGAGACCAATCTCACACTGGAACTCCTGCTGCCCTCCTTCAAACATCGATGTGGAGGTCACCCCATTGCTAGATTTAAAGGGAATGAGGGGGTTACTGGTGAAGAAGAAGAGTAAGAGGAAAAAGAAAAACAGAGAAAATTGGGAACAGAGATTAAGCCAAAAGATGAAGTGAAAAATAAAGAGTAAAAGGGGACCATAAATATTACAAAATAACAAAGGCAATAATGGACCCTGAGAAAAATGATAATCAGTTTCTTGCCCTTTACTGTCCACAAGAAGAGCCTTTGTCTTGTATTAAATTTATTCATTATTAACTTAAAAAACTCTGAATTATAACAGTACAGTCAATCCTGGGAATATTATGCTTGCAAGAATCAAAGTTTTTAATTTCGCAACCCTCAATTTGTATCTTCGCAAAAAAATGTCCGCCAGGTGTATAAGAATACCTGGTATAGTAAGAAAATAGAAATTTCTACAAATTATAAATCAAGTTAATATGCATTACATGTTTTATCACATAATGACTAGTGCAATATAATGAAAGTTTATACAAATATTCGTCACTGAGTTCAACAGTTAGATTAAGTTAATTTAAGAATCTTCCAAAAACAGAAAATATCAAAATGTTTCCATAAATTATAATATCCGGAAAAAACCTCGAATCCAGAACACTTGGTAACAGTTGTTCCTGGTGTTACGGCTGACCATCCTCCCACCTAGCCATTAGTGTCTGGTCCTGAAACTCGTATTACTATTACTATGACAAAGTCAGTGGTTACTTTTTATTCATAATGGTTTCTATATGGAGGCTACTACCCAGTGATAGGTGAGGTGATAGTAGAGTGAAGAAACACAAATATATTTCACTTACAATCTAGAAACAAAGTTGAAATACGTTAGATTCATATTTCAGATTTGCCCCCACGCGGATGTAACCTGTTCCTGGCCTCAAGGTTAAGGTGTTAGTGAGGCCAGTTGCCTTATTTCTTCGATTTATTTTATATTATCTTGTTTTGTGGATAGGAGGTAGTAGACAGCTATCAAACAGGGAGGTACTACCGCCTGGGAAGATATTGGAAGCATGTGTTGTCTAATGGTAGACCCTGCTGCCATATGGCATCACGAAAATTGTGACCAAGTCCCAGGTTGCTGATCTGACTTTCTGTCTCATTTACACACAATTGCAGGGTCTCAATTGTTTCTCGTAATATTGACAGCACAACTTACATATATTGTTTCTCACTTTTGATCTTTTTTAATTTTCGTATTTATGGTGCTTTATTATTAATATTATTATTATTATTATTATTATTATTATTATTATTATTATTATTATTATTATTATTATTATTACATTATTATTATTATTATTATTATTATTATTATTATTACAGTTATTATTATTATTATTATTATTATTATTATTATTATTATTATAAAATTTATTTGCTATGAATTATTATTATTATTATTATTATTATTATTATTATTATTAAACTTTCGTCCCCCAGGCCCCGATGTGGGTCAGTGACCTGTGCCCGGGTGGGCTAATCCCCGTAAAAAAAAAATGCGATATCGCCGGATTTTACTGTACTGTAAAGTAAGTTTGTTTTTCAACACTGGTTAAGATTATGATACTTAGGTGAATCTACAGTATATTGTCTTTAGAAAAAATATTACCAAGAATTTCTCAAAGATCATATTATGAAGCTGCAAAGTGAATATTCTCAACCTAGAACCAAGAACAGGGTGGTAAGGTAAGGACAGCTGAGCGACCTCGTCGATCCCTGTCAAAGCTGGTCTGGAGTCTGCAGGTCACTCGTTGAATGATCCATGCACCACGAAACAAAAATTTGACGCATGAAATAATTGTACAGCAAAAGAGAAGAGACAAGTGACTTGGAACCTCTATTATTCCTTGATGTGTCTCCTTACCAGAAAATAAAAATGTAAGTATACTGTACCTGTAAACCAAAGTTCCTGGAATCACCTTAATTGATCCACTGGTCTTTGTAGCACTGTCAAGGTTAACTAACACTGATATGACCTGGGTGAGTAGCAGTTTATGCAGCAATTAAAACTGATCTAACAAGACAGTGTATCTGCCTCAACAGCCTCCTGGGCTGGGTGTTTCTTGTGAACAATCTGACAGGTCACTTGGGTCAATTTGCTAATGTGTTTGAGTTAATAACTGTATAAGGATTATTTTGGCCAACTGTTGCATTGAATATGTTACCAGGTACTAAGAAGCTTAGAAAGTAATAACTAATTTCACTAATCTCTTGTTTTTAGCATTTATGGACAATTTATCTTAGAAACTTAAAAATAAAAGTAAAGTTCCTGGCATAAGAAGCTTCAAAACTGAGAACATTAATTGCAGTATAAATTCAATGTAGGCTCCCAGAAGATAAGAGTTAATGGCGTTGAAAAGAGTCAAAAGCAGTGAGTGAGTGAGTGAGATGAGTCCTGTTGAAGTGTCAGGGTCGGTTCTTGATGCAGTGCTGTAACACGTTGTCCTCGTAGATATTTGTGTCTTTCCACTGTCATCTATAGTCTACATACGTTCTCTAAATACAGTTGTAAATTCTGCTAATGATTGTTCCTGTTTTGTTTACTGTTATGTACTGAACGATAACTCACTCTCATACTATAAAAATATTTGAACAAAAAATATCCACATATCATGAAAGTACTGTATGTAAAAAAAAATATGAAAATTATGCTAGATCTTGCATTCATTAATATATTATCAAAACAGCTCCACACATCATTACACACCTATCTTGAAAATATACCAAAATTAAAAAAAAAGTGAAGGATAATGAACAGATCACAATATGCTACCACAAGTTGAGTGGGCGTGAGGCTTTATCAGTTATAATCTTATCAAGGTAAAGATTAAAGTTCAATACAATAACCAAAAGTGTCCAAATGATGGGTTACGTAAACTAATAATAAGTTTAGGTGAATAACACAAGTTTAAATCAATAATGTGGCAGTAATTAATGATTTTTTTTTATCATCCCAGTCAAAAGCTGTAATAAAGCTGTAGAAAACTTAACACATCATCTTGCATGGAAACATCGTGAATAACTGACCATTATCATGATACAATGGTAAAATGAGGAACAAACAAAGAGACAACATCTAGTTTCAGTCAATTATTTCAGGTGTTCACTTAACAGGGGTCATAAACATCCAGAACACAAACATTCATCACACTTATACACAAACATTCATCACACTTACACATAAACATCCATCACACTTACACATAAACATCAATCACACTTACACATAAACATCAATCACACTTACACATAAACATCAATCACACTTACACATAAACATCAATTACACTTATAAACATCAATCACACTTTCAGTAAACATCAATCACACTTACACATAAACATCAATCACACTTACACATAAACATCAATCACACTTTCAGTAAACATCAATCACACTTACACATAAACATCAATCACACTTTCAGTAAACATCAATCACACTTACACATAAACATCAATCACACTTACACATAAACATCAATCACACTTACCTTATGAATATATTTGTGAATCTGTCTTAAAGCCTTTTATTTTATTTCGCTGAGTAATTAATGAACAAAAGATAAATAACTATTACTTTTTGGTGTTTCTTTTACTCAGGTTCTAGAGAGGTAACTGCACTGTACAGTTAGTTATGAATCCGATCATAGTCTTGATTTGGAAGTATTGTATGGCTAAAGTCATTCCTGGCTAACATTACAGTATGGCAGAGCATGTCAGGTATGAAATGTCTTGTGTCTGAGTCTGTAGTTGTCTTATGCCAGCTTGTCTATATAACTTAAGAAAGAATAGAGATTGATCAATTACACTTTTACAAACAAAGACATTTAATTCTGTAAAATAAAAATGCTACAAACTTAAAAAACAAAACAAATTACTGTAAAGTAGTTATTTTTAGGTACAGTTGAGGATAAATGTATATTAAACTTGAAAAGAGTGAGAAATAAAGTAATCCAACTAAAAAATCTAACTCAGAAATATTAAACAAGTTGAAAGAGCAGTAACTAAGCGTAGAACCCATCCATAGTAACATAACTAGAGGAGGATCTGTGTTCACCATCCTCGTCCATGATATTAACTAGACCCACGATTAACATCATTCCTCAGTTATATCATGCAGTTAGTCAAAGAAAATAGTCCTCCGTATGTCCATGATAGAAAACGAGAAGAGGGGGGGATAATGGGAGCTGGGTGCCTACATTGCCTCTTTAGCCGCATACTTTGCTGTGGCTATCCGGAGGACGTGGGTGTCTTGGGCGATCTTATCCTGGGGTCGACACCTGATCTGAATTTTCTCGTCCTCGGGGAGCTTCAGCCCGTTCACTAGAGGGAAACGCAGCTGCAAGCACAACCACGTCTGCAATATGAAGCACAATGTTTAATACACAACAGAGAAGTATGATGAGATACTATTGTAAACATCACAGACTTTGCAAGACTTTAGAAATGTCTGGTCTTGATTGTAGTATTGTATTTTCTCAACATGAAAAGAGAACATTTAATTTATCACCACCACACAGTAGTTATGGTAGGGAGAGGATCATCAGCCTCACCTCCCCATTGCCCTGGCGACACTCCCTCACACCACATCGCTCTAGGTCAGACACAATAAGCTGGAACATGTCGTTAGTAAGCTGTGTGGGGATCATCCTGCAGGCAGTGTTGATGGTGGGGTCGATGGTTGGCCGGTCCTCAAACACGGGGATGGCGTTATAGCCCACAGGCAGAGACAGGACCGCCATGAACGAGCTGGTCGTCCCAGTGTTCATACATTTAATGTCTTCCCACATGAAAAATAAATCCGTCAGTAAATACAATAGAATTCAGAATTTGTCTTACACATTCATTACTGAAGTTCATCCACCAACCGATTCTCCATCCAATTAAAAATATCAATATTCTCATCTCTTACGTGAGATTTTCCTAATTACGTATAAAGATACCGGACGAACAGGAGAATCTTCTTTTAATTGAGTTAAATAAAACAATTTTAGTGAGTCAAAAAAGAGCCGTATATTGAGTAATACAGTACTGTACTCTACTTTTCTACCTGTTTATTTAACCTCTTTTAATTATAACACATTATTAGTTTAAAGCAGTGAGGTACTGTCCTCACCTGAGACCTGGGCTTGGTCAGCTCCTGGTGGGGGAGAAGGAGAGCTGATGGGCGGGGGGATGGCTGGTGGGCCAAAACTGCCCATTAATGTGGGTGTGGGTGTGGAGGGTGGCAACACTGGAGGTGCCGGAGGCTCGATTCCAAACCCTGTTATAGCAGGGGGCCCAAATAGCCCCTGAGGAGGCGAGGGAGGTGTTGCTGGAGGCCGGATAGATGGAGGTCCCACACTCCTGGTGGTGGTGGAGTCTCGCTGTGGAGAATAATAAGATAACAACGTTGTTTAATTCTTCTTGTAGTTTGTAAAGTGTAAAATCTTGGAAGTCAACTCTAGTCCCATTTTTTTTTGTTAGGCACTTTCCATAAAATGAAAAACTTGTGAAAAAAAATGTGAAGGTTTGGCGTAAAAAATAATATTTGATCCTGAAATTTTCTTTTATTACTTGAGTTAAAGCCCCATAACATACATATTACACCACCAAGTCCGGAAGGTTAAAACCCAGCAAATCACTTTATAATGATAGTTGAGACTAATTCATTAGTTATCTTTCCCACTGAAACTAAAGTCCTAACAAGCTGAAAACTTAAGGATACGAACAGGAGAGTATTACTCCTTACCCCTCAGCTCTTTGTACCATTATAAACAGACATGTCATTACTTCCTGTCATGCACTAAAGTTTTACACACATCTCCAAAACAGTATCAAACCTCATGAGCATAAATACATTGACAAAGCATTCAATTTACCGATATTTCCTGCTAAGAGCAAAATAATTAAACAAACTAGTGAATTGTATATCAATTTGCTGGGGTTGCTTTTTCCTCAGTATCCCTCAAGCAAGCAAGTGAAGAGCTGGGGATTGACCGGAAGATGCCCCCACCCTAACGTTAACTTAAACTAACCTATTTCCCCAAGTATCAATAAGGTGTTTAATCAGCAGGTGAATTAAACTTGAGGGGCTAATCTTCAGATGATCCGAGCTGGGTATACAGGCATATAGAACCATCATCGAGAATACCACTGAGTAACTTGTAGTAACCCTCAGGAGAATATGATCTTACCGAGTGAGAGCGTCGTCTTGGTTCCTGTAGAAGTGGGCGGATTTTTCTCTTGGTTGTCCTCGCAGCCACGCCCATTCTGTTGACAGGAACCCTGACCCTAGTGATGGTGGTGTTGGTGGCATTCTGGTCGTCGTCGTCGTCCTTAACTGGGTCGTCACTGGGGAGGTCTTCAGGGAGGGGCACGTCCTCTATGTTGTCTTCGGAACTCTTTATGTTAATCTCGGATTTCTGGGAATGATGGTGGAGACATCTCATCAGTGAACTCTCTTTCTCTCTCTCATAGGTAATCAAAACAATACCCATTGAACCACAAAATATTAATTCTTCGAGACCAACACCAACATCATGGCAGCAACAGAAGGAGCCAACGCCACGGAGGAGGTCCCCAGCAGTCCAGTGGTCGTCATAACAACCATCACCGTCACATCCCTCCCTCCCAACACCTTCCTACAGCACACACACAATGAACAAAAAATAGTTTAGGTCTGATATATATACCCGACACGAGTATAAGGAAGGTCTCCTGGCGGCACTGACCGGGGTGATGAAGGTGGCGTTCCTTCGAGGTCTCGTCACAGAAATCTTGGGGGAGAGTCTCCTGCCGTAGCCTGGAGGATCAGGATAGCCGTAGGCGGAGATCCTGATGGGTGAGGAGGCCTGGCACCACCCGCACGCCCACAAACCCATCGTCACCCACGCCACCACCCACGCCCATAATTGCATCTGGGTAGGAGAAAGATGGTTAGTATAATGTTTATCAGCTAGGATGAAACGGAGCCAATCACCGACCTGCTTTCTCGCAGAGATAATCAAAACAATATTAACCTACATTCTGAAAGCAATAAATAAAAGAGTAAAATTACCAGACTTTCCGTTGAGACAAAATTAAAGAATGTTCCCCAAACAATTCTAATAGAAGTAAATGGTAAGCTTACATTTAGTAACGAAGGTAAATGAATACTGAAGAATGCATACATTAATAAATAAACAAATAAAGTCGTAGATGTTGGTAAAATCCCTCTACCCAAACCATGTCACATATTGGAGAAATTCTAACACGCCAGCGTTCTGTGTTAACCGACGGGGTAAAATATACTCACAAAAAGATATTTTAATAAATAAAGAGCGAGAAGCTAGACAAACGCATCATTCTTAACTTTTAATTATTGATAACTAGTGCGTTTACTAGCTTAGAATACACGATTAAAGACCTTAGCTGTTGAAGCACATCAATATATCATAACACGAAATAAGAGCGACCAATGACAGGTTCCCACACACTCTTCTCATCCTCACCCTCACTAACAAGGTCTCAGATGTCATGCATACGAAATTCACCGATTTCACTGATCAAATCGTGTTCAATGAAGACCTCCACTAGCCTTTACCTGTGAGACGAAAGAGTGGTTTTCCTTGTATGTCCTAAACGTGTGTTTTGGATTTAGGTCTGGACAGGAACTCAGCGGGGACAGGGAAGTGTGATGCCTCCCCTCACCTCCCCCTCCCCCCACCAAGGGAACTCGTAAGGTCACACATACTGTACAGGGAAGCAGCAGTTAGTGAAGAATATAATATCAACTCCTGATTCAGTATTTGGTCTCTCAACTCCATGGTGACGGCCCAGTTCGTCGGCTCCATATTACATTCATTATCATACTCCACTTTCTACGTACTCCCACCCACGTCAAAAACAAACAAACAAACACAAAATATAAGGATATATCAGCATCATCTGTTTATTATCGTCAACCAAGCATCAATAAAAGTTCAGAGACAAGAAAGAATTCTATCTTTAACTTGGTGTAACTGGGGTTGACTGTAGCCCTGAGGAACATAAACTTATACACAGTTATACAGTCACTCTGTAACTGTGTGTCTACTTCTAGCATACTGATAATGTAATATTGTTCACTCATCACTCGCTTTGTATATTGTTCACTCATCACTCGCTTTGTATATTGTTCACTCATCACTCGCATTGTATATTGTTCACTCATCACTCGCATTGTATATTGTTCACTCATCACTCGCTTTGTATATTGTTCACTCATCACTCGCTTTGTATATTGTTCACTCATCACTCGCTTTGTGACTTTAACCCTATTGAGTATGATGACTTTCCCCTGAATGTGATGACCTGTTTCTCGAGTACGACGATATTGTTTACTTACGGGATTAAGTCACCGTATTAAATTGATTAAGTCACCGTATTCAAGGATTAAGTCACCGTATTCAAGGTTTAAGTCACCGAATTCAATTGATTAAGTCACCGTATTCAGGGTTTAAGTCATCATATTAAGGTTAGTCATTGTGATCAAGGGGTTAAATCATCATATTCAAGAGTTTAAGTCATCATATTCAAGGTTTAAGTCATCATATTCAGAGTTTAGTAATCATATTCAAGGGGTTAAGTAATCATATTCAAGGGTTAAGTCATCATATTCAGGGGTTAAATCATCATATTCAGGGTTAAGTCATCATATTCAAGAGTTTAAGTAATCATATTCAAGGGTTAAATCATCATATTCAAGAGTTTAAGTAATCATATTCAAGGGTTAAATCATCATATTCAAGGGGTTAAGTCATCGTACTTAAGGGTTAAATTATAGTACTCAGGGATTATTAAATTATAGTACTCAAGCGAATACTAAATTATCGTACTCAAGAATAAACATCAGGAAAGAATGTTAGAGAGACTTCGCCGTAGACGGATTCTTCGGCTGCACCTTTACTGACTTAGAATCCAACAAGTATTACCACATTTCACAACAACTCCACACAACAGAGACAATAAGACGTCCTGTACCATTTGCCTTGAAGACGTCTACATGACATAACTATGCAAATATCAAGCACAGGGACACAGAATTTGAGTCGCTATTTGCATACTGGCCTGTAGAGAGGATATTTCAGTCTTGCAGCAAATAATAATAAAAGTGGTTTGTTTTTATACGACGGCAATACATGTCTAGCAAATTGAATCAAACCATGAACAAGGTAGCAAGGAACACAAAAGGTTAGCTTAGGTTGGGTTGGGTTGGGTTGGGTTGGGTTGGGTTGGTTGGGTTGGGTTGGGTTGGGTTGGGCTGGGTTGGGTTGGGTTGGGTTGGGTTGGGTTGGGTTGGGTTGTATATTGTTCACTCATCACTCGCATTGTATATTGTTCACTCATCACTCGCTTTGTATATTGTTCACTCATCACTCGCTTTGTGACTTTAACCCTATTCAGTATGATGACTTTTTCCCCCTGAATGTGATGACCTGTTTCTCGAGTACGACGATATTGTTTACTTACGGGATTAAGTCACCGTATTAAATTGATTAAGTCACCGTATTCAAAGGTTTAAGCCATCAATTGATTAAGTCACCGTATTCAAGGGTTTAAGTCTTCATATTCAAGGGGTTAAGTCATTGTGATCAAGGGGGTTAAATCATCATATTCAAGGGGTTAAGTCATCATATTCAAGAGTTTAAGTCATCATATTCAAGAGTTTAAGTAATCATATTCAAGGGGTTAAATCATCATATTCAAGGGGTTAAGTCATCATATTCAAGAGTTTAAGTAATCATATTCAAGAGTTTAAGTAATCATATTCAAGGGGTTAAATCATCATATTCAAGGGGTTAAGTCATCATATTCAAGAGTTTAAGTAATCATATTCAAGGGGTTAAATCATCATATTCAAGAGTTTAAGTAATCATATTCAAGGGGTTAAATCATCATATTCAAGGGGTTAAGTCATCGTACTTAAGGGATTAAATTATAGTACTCAGGGGATTATTAAATTATAGTACTCAAGCGAATACTAAATTATCGTACTCAAGAATAAACATCAGGAAAGAATGTTAAGAGAGACTTCGCCGTAGACGGATTCTTCGGCTGCACCTTTACTGACTTAGAATCCAACAAGTATTACCACATTTCACAACAACTCCACACAACAGAGACAATAAGACGTCCTGTACCATTTGCCTTGAAGACGTCTACATGACATAACTATGCAAATATCAAGCACAGGGACACAGAATTTGAGTCGCTATTTGCATACTGGCCTGTAGAGAGGATATTTCGGTACACCTTGCAGCAAATAATAATAAAAGTGGTTTGTTTTTATACGACGGCAATACATGTCTAGCAAATTGAATCAAACCATGAACAAGGTAGCAGAGGAACACAAAAGGTTAGCTTAGGTTGGGTTGGGTTGGGTTGGGTTGGGTTGGGTTGGGTTGGGTGGGTTGGGTTGGGTTGGGCTGGGTTGGGTTGGGCTTTGGGTTGGGTTGGGTTGGGCTGGGTTGGGTTGGGTTGGGTTGGGTTGGGTTGGGTTGGGTTTGGTTTGGTTGGGCTGGGTTGGGTTGGGTTGGGTTGGGTTGGGTGGGTTGGGTTGGGTTGGGTTGGGTTGGGCTGGGTTGGGTTGGGTTGGGTTGGGTTGGGTTGGGCTGGGTTGGGTTGGGTTGGGTTGGGTTGGGTTGGGTTGGGTTGGGTTGGGTTGGGTTGGATTATGGTTAGGTTAGGTTAGTTTTAAAGAACATCTGCAGTCAGTAATATTGGTAGCAGAGTGCAAGACCGACCCACTACGACCCGCCAGCGACTGTAATGATGCAACTGGCGGGGAGGAAAGTGCCTTATTACAGGAATGATTTTATTGTCGCTCATAACTTTATACTCACAACCTTCTTGGATATATTATGAGTGACCTTATACAGTTAGCATTATCTCTTTAGACTGGCGGTACATGATGGCATTAGAACACAGAAAAAATACATTATTGGTATACCTTCATTTACGACCAGTCATCTCTTCATATAATCTAACTGTATTTAGATTAAGATTATAAAATATCTACCAAGTGTAAGACTAAAAACTACTTTCTTATTTAAAAAAAAAAAAATAACTTCATATCGTCTGTGCAAGCTGACACACACACACACACACACACACACACACACACACACACACACAATGTTACCAATAGGACAACATATAACATATTTACTTCTATATAAAGGAATTAATATAAATTCTTTTTTTACTATATTTATCTTAATTTGCATTTTTTTTTTAATTTTCATCTTATAATTTTATCTTTAACATCTGCCCTAAATTCAACTCTGTATAAGAGAGAGAGAGAGAGAGAGAGAGAGTACCACAAAACAAAACGTATACCGTATCTAAAGTTGAAATATATGAGGGAAGTATAAATAATGATAATAATGAAAAAGAAAATGATCTCCACAGAATACAAAGATCAAGAAACGAAGTAAATTATTCAAGACACGACTGGACGAACACAATCATTTTTTTTTCTTCTTCTACAGCAGTGAGTCAGGAGGTAAGTTTGTTCTGGCTAAAGATGAGAAACAACACAGCTCTTCGTGATTTTAAAGGAATATATATTCTTTTTTAATCCAAGGACAAGAGTTAAGTCTGTTTCTGAGCATTACATGAAAAAACTCCCATTGACTATACAGGATCGCATGTATCAACAAAAGTTAATCAATTTGCTCACAGTCACATAATGGCGGCGATCTCTTGTGTCCAGGAACTGTGTGTGTGTGTGGAGGGGGGGGGGGGTGAAGGAGAGGAGAACCAGCCGGTAACCAGGAGCAGGGTGACCTACCTACCTACCTACCCAAGAATGTAAGACAGATGACGATGTGAGGCTGTTCTGAGTTACTGGATTCCTGGATGAGAGAGTAGAGGCGGCAGCACGCACGGCCGCCCCACCACCACCACCCGCTGCCCCCTCTATGTTGTCACTACAATAACAAGGACGAAGTTACATGACGATCTCTCTATTGTTGGTCAAGAGTGTTTTACTTCAGCAGCATCCACAACCCTCTACACGTTATATACACTACACAAAATACACAGGGAATAAATAAACACCAATTTTTCGAGGTATAAGTAAATTTTTCTTCTAAGAGTAAAACGAGGTGGTAATAATAGTCTTGGATTAGACATATTACAGAATACAACTGGCTTTCCCACATAATATATCCTCGTCTTTTTCACATAAGATAAATATTTATAAAACTGTACCGAATTAAACAATAAAAAGGATATGAAAAAAAAATCCTACAGGGTATTACAGTGGCGAAGAGGATAAAATAAATAATAAAAAAAATATACAGTATCAGATTTTCCTTTTAGAAACCCATCACTTCATCCCCGGAGATTTTAACAAGATATTCTTGAGCTTTTTAAGAGTCGAAATCCCTCTAAGACTCGCCTGAAAGTTCTCTTTAAATTTCACACGACTCGAAGTTGAACTCCTTGAAGACCTCCCCTCCTTCCCTCACTCATCTCAGACAAGAACCCTCCTAGGTCACTCACTCTCGTTCTGTTGTGATAAAGGTAATAGCAAATCTGGATGTACAGATTCCTCGCTCCTTAATATAACGTTATCACAGAGACTCGTTTGGAAGGTCATTGACTGAAATGTTTTCTCACCAGAGACAAAAATACAGATCACTTGAAGAGTAGTTCCCACCCTCAGCTTATTTCACCTTAGGATTAAACACCCTAACATTAGCTGAGGGGTTGGGTTAGGTTAGGATAGGTTGATATTAGGGTGGTTATTTTTAAGGTGAAATAAGATGGGGTGTCAAATCTTCAGGTGATCCTAAAATACATTCTCAGGATAAGGACATTTAAACAGAGTGGAAAGTTAAACTTATATGATAATAAGAATGACAGATAAACCATACGGTGAAAATAGTGTCTCAGGTATTATGCTTTATCTTCTCCGCCATTTGTCAGTTTACTAGCTAGTCTCACACTGAAAAAAAATAAAGGACATATCACTCAACAGATTCACAGGAATATTAACCTGCATCGTGGCATGGACATCAAACTGGAAAATCAAAACCTCTACTGCTCCACAAGGTATACAGTAGCGAGGATTGGGAAGTCACGAACACGTCTGACTCAAAAAGAGGGAAAAAATGTACAAAATACTTAACAGAAAAGTAAAGGAAAGCGACTGAGGCGACCATCACGCAGGTAATTTAGAATAAATTAGTTACGCTTTTAATGCTTCAGTTCGTCAATAGAAAATGGGTAAGTTTTAGGGCTGTCTACATTATGATGAGTTAAAAAGCTTGCACTTGACCGAACAACCATGACCCAAGTCGCTGATGAAAACGAATGATCAGGAGTTGCCGTGAGAGCTGCCATGAACACTGGCAACATCAAAGTTATGTAATTTTATAAAACGTTACGGTAATAAAACACTGAAAAAACGGGGAGGACCATGATCGTTAGAGTATATAGGTGAATATAATGAGGTCACGATGTCTATATGTGAAGAAAAACGGAAATTTTGTTTATTAACACTTATATATTGCTCACATAAGAGTAGAAGGAACAGACCAATTCCTTAATGGATATATGGGTGACTTAACAATGGGAAGATTGAGGTTGCTTGTTTGTCTCGCTGAGGGCGCTGGCCTGGTGATTTATTAAAAATATACACTTATAAAACACGCACAAACATTTCTACAAACAAAAGCATACTCACATGTACACGTCAACACTACCCACCAACACTACCCATCAAAACAACCCACCAACACCCCACCCAACCAACACTACCCACCAACACTACCCACCAACACTACCCATCAAAACAACCCACCAACACCCCACCCAATCAACACTACCCACCAACACTACCCATCAAAACAACCCACCAACACCCCACCCAACCAACACTACCCACCAACACTAACCCCACCAACACCCCACCCAATCAACACTACCCACCAACACTACCCATCAAAACAACCCACCAACACCCCACCCAACCAACACTACCCATCAACGCCGCCAACAGCCTCAGCGACGACAATTACATGCGCAATGATGCAAACAAAAGGTGAGGTGACACTAAGCGGTACAAAACGAGGGAGTGGATGACACGTACAATGACTATCTCACCGTCGTCAAGGCCACTCAGGGACAGATACGTGCAAGGTGGACGAAACCAACGAAGCGGGAAATTGTTATCTGATGTAGTGAACTTTTGCATAAAGGTGACAGGATGGCTGTATTATAATGGTTACCTTGCTACAGTGGGTTCCTTGTTACAGTGGGTGCCTTGCTACAGTGGGTCCCTTGCTACAGTGGGTCCCTTGCTACAGTGGGTCCCTTGTTACAGTGGGTCCCTTGTTACAGTGAGTCCCGTGTTAGAGTGGGTTCCTTGTTACAGTGAGTCCCGTGTTACAATGGGCCCCTTGTTGCAGTGTGTCCCTTGTTACAGTGGGTCCCTTGTTACAGTGGGTCCCTTGTTACAGTGAGTCCCTTGTTACAGTGGGTCCCTTGTTACAGTGGGTCCCTTGCTACAGTGGGTCCCGTGTTACAGTGGGTCCCTTGTTACAGTGACAGTCTGTAGGAGGCACCACACACTCCCTCACTGTAAGGTACTAATGTGTGTTCGATGAAGTGCTTGTTTACAATACCTTCAGCTACACGGAAGAATGTTCTGCATTATCCATCTAGACTTAACGTTGCTTACAGGGATAAATTCTTCAACTCCTAAATAAACTTAAATTCCAGTTACGATCTACGAAACCGGTGTAAAAACTCACCTTGACATCAGATAGGCAAAGTTGGGTGTCTGGATGAGCACCATGTTTAAATTTCAACCTTTAACATACGGTCACCTTCGCGAAGCCCCACCACAAACTTAACCACATGAAGCTCCGTCCAGTCAAGTACGTTTATTTATACACCAAGGTGAGAATATCATCCCTTATATATGTACAGGGATACCTATCTTAACTAGTCATAATGTTATTAAGGCTCATGAGGCTACAATACTCAAGTACTTGGAGACAATCCTCGACAATAAACAGGTAATTAGCCAGGTGTTGTGGGCGCGGAGGGACACGCTTAATGGTCAACAATACACGGGTGAGAAGTGGCGGTACAGCGTTGTAAAACTTGAAGAAGGTGGAAGATAACAGTTCTAATATTTTGATAATTTAATTCTTGTCTATCATTCTATCTATCTATCTATCTATGTATCTCTCTATCTATCTATCTATCTTTCTTTCTATATATCTTTCTATCACCTCAGTGGAACAAAGGCCCCGACGTATATGAAACCAACAAACCCACCCAAACATAACGTCACCATCCAATTGCACACACTAACACAGAAACCCCAAGAAGCAAACTGTACCCGAACAAACGAAAGGAATAAATAAAAAACAGAGACAAAGGTACGACATGAACAATGAACTTGAATCAGTGGATAATAATACACATCAACTTGGGACCAGTGCGGAGGGAAGAGAGTAAGATGGCAGGGAAAGAGTAACGAGGGTGGGGGACAGTGTAAGTGATGGCGGTGATGTTTTGAACCATAAACTTGAAGTCTCTAATTACTACTGACGCTGAGGACAATAGAGAGAGAGAGAGAGAGAGAGAGAGAGAGAGAGAGAGAGAGAGAGAGAGAGAGAGAGAGAGAGAGTTATAGGTGATCAAATACTCCTGACACAACACCACAATTAAACCACCAACTAACACGATAATTACAAGTCTAAATAGAAACTAATTACCCAGGACGTTTGCCTATTGAGCTGTAAGGTAATTTGTTTAGGAATAATTACACTGAAACTATACTTAGGCATCAATGAACTAGATACAAGGTTGATCGAAAAACAATACCAAAGGTTTTAAATAATTAAATATATTAAAACCCGGACATTCTTTTTCGATCACCTGTATAAATAATGTCTTAACCCTTTTCCGAGACTTCACCTTCAATAGGAGAAGAAGAAAAAATTGATATTTATGAGTTTATTTTAATATGTGATTCGCTATCCATCATATTTAAACTCTCCGTAACGTAGAGAGAGACAGGGAGAAAGTGGCCGCAAAAATCTATATGATATTTGACTACAGTGTGTGTGTGTGTGTGTGTGTGTGTGTGTGTGTGTGTGGTCTCCAAGTATGTTATGGGACGAAGATATTGATGGGTGTATCTCCGTTATGATAGTGAGAAGCTTATACAAGGGACCTTTGAATCAGATCTTATATACTGTATATCTACTAAAATTGGAGAGAAAATAGAGTCATAGTTTTCGGTGAGATTTGACCTCTGATCTCCCCACTTGACCCCCTGGAGTTAGAAAGCAACACAGGGAAATAATATATAAGATATGTTTAAGGGATGTGACCGTGGATGTCTTCCCTCCCACTGACAACTTTTTTGCACAGGAAGTTCTTTAAAAGGGAAGATCTTGAAAACTGAGAGATGCCCCCCCCCCAAAAAAAAAAGTAATGTTGTTCAAAATGTAAATGTTAGTAGGTATATCTGATAAGATTAAATTTTTATTGTACTCAAATGGTAAAGTGGTAAAAACAAACTTGATTTACCTTAATGGTGGCGGTGGTCAGATGGTGCTCAATCTTCTAGGGTCCCTCAACTGGTGGTCTGAAACACATACACAAAAGTGTTAGTGATGAGGAAGAGGCAATATTTGGTGATGTTCCTCAAAACCTAACCTATCCTTACCTAACATAACCTAACCCAACATTACCTAATTTAACCTGACCTACATTAACCTAACCTGATCTAACTTAGACTTACCTAACTTAACCTGGCATAACCTAAATTAACCTAACCTAACCTGACTTAATTTAACTTTAACCTAACCGAACCTGGACTACCTAGGTCACTCGCCTTGCTGGGATCATTGACACTGAGGCGTATAATCTTGTAACATCATACAACCCTCTGGTACAACACTAATGTGGATGATGTCTGGAATAAAACTTGCTTAAAATAAATTATTTTCGTAAAATGAGTGATTTTGTGGGGTGAAAAAATGTGTGAGAGAGAGAGAGAGAGAGAGAGAGAGAGAGAGAGAGAGAGAGAGAGAGAGAGAGAGAGAGACCACTCCATAACCTGTCAATCAGAGCCAGATATGTCTAAAAACACAAAAAAGTTTGCCAGCAAACATGACACCAATACGTCATCGTCAACCTCAGAGCCACTCCTCTCCTCTCCCTCCCCCGATCATCTTTCCTCTCCTTTCTCCCTTACACATCCTCCCTCCTCTCTTCTCTCCACAACGATCCAAAGGAGAAATATCCACACTTCTTCATTTACAAATATATGTAATAAACTTAAACGCGGTCATCACCCACACTGCAGTAGAGGTCCGTCAGCACCTCACTCACTTATGTCTCGTCAGTAGGGAGAATCACCAAGAATAGCTGTGTGGTGTGGGGATTACATATGTGGGCAGTAGGGTCCTCTGGCCTCAGCTTTCTCTACTATTATGATCGTAGTGGGAAATGTTTACAGTCAAGAAAAGAAAGAGGAGGGTAATGGTGCATGTTTTCCCGTTTGTTGGTGGCAGTGGTGGGATGCTGTTGTTTATATTTGCCGCAGTGGTGGGGTTTTGTCATGTTTTCTTACTGTCGGTATTACACATGTTTGGTTATAAATGACCAAAATTAACCTATTAAAGGGAAAAAATAGGCGGTATAGTGCAAAAATGAAGAGAAAATTACTAATGTGGTGTTTGTATTATGGGAAAAACATCTTTGATTTCTTTCCAAACTGATCTCGTTGAATTTTTCAAAAACTTTGTAGGAATGTTTCTTGGACGGCCACCACTCAAGTCAGATCTAAAGGTTCTTGTTGTTGTTTTAATACATTCTTCGAAACTTAATTTTTATGTAATGGTTCATATATTTTTGGTCCAATGGCACATGTCCTAGTCATTTATGATTATTAAAACATTACAGTCAGATTCGTTAAAAAGGTGTGAATGCAAAATAAAGGAAGCCTCTTCTACTAAACAGGAATGAAGCCATTTTGTTTATCTTCAATTCGTATATCTTTATAAGAATATAAACTCCACTGTGTTGTGGCGGTTTGACCATTTACATTAAGATTCCAGCATTATATATAACTTTCCCCAGCTGTAGTGGTGGGGACGTGAGCGTTGGTCTACTGGCCACCTGCTCTAGTGACACACTACATTCCCGCCTCGATTAGTGACCCTGGAAGAAAGTGGGATGCCTTGGTTGTGCATCGTCGACAGCCACTCCTGAAGGTGCCATTACTCAGCCACTGCCGATGTCGTTCAGTGGTCCAAGTGGGTGGGTGGGCGACTGTAGCACCCGTCAGCCGAGCCAAGACTCACTCCTTACCTTTCTAGGTTTTTAGGTCGTGGCTCAATTAACAGGTCCCTCCCTGACTCACCTGTTCGCGGCGACCTACTCCCCTCCTGCATAGTCGACGATCCTCGAGGATTTCTAAAATTCCCAGTGATGAACAAAGGCAGGCCAATATATTTATAAATTAGCCTAAAAATTCCAAGACTCATCGTTCTCTGTAGATGAAATTATCATCTGCCAGGGAAGTTATTTTTTTAAAGGACATTAACCTTATGGATATCAGTTTTCTCCAGCAGTCTGGGGGTAAAATGTGAGTCTGAGGTCAACATGTGGCCAATGACAACACCTCCACCTCGGTGTTTGTTCTGCCAATATCTGGCCAACATTTGACTGGCCACAGGAGCTTGACTGGACCGGCCACCACCCCAGGAGCACTAATACACGATCTACACAGGAAGACTCTTCCCACAGGAACCCTTAAGAAGACTGCCCAAGTAGAACATTTCCATCTGCAGTCCCACAGGAGGACTCTCTCTTCACAACGCCCTCAGCAGGAACCCTTTGTTAGTTCTCCGTCAATTTGGAGACACTAAAAACATTCCGGGAAGAAGGGATGGAAAGGCATGGCAATTACTGGACCCGGATCCGTAAGCTCACAAAGCCTCGCCTTACCTAACTTACCCATAACCCAACTTAACATGAGCTCACCAAATCCTCGGCTTGACTATGAATATGCGGGTCCGGATATTAGTTGGTCCGGGATGGTTGCCTGGATACACAGGTGGAGTGAAACAAGGGAAGGTTGAGGCAGGAAGTGTTGTGGTGCTGGAGAGAGTGTAGGTATATGATGGTGGGATGACAATGAATAATAAACAATAAGAAATGAGGATGAGAAAATAAGTGCAAACAGGAGAGAGAGAGAAAAGGGGGGGGGGGCATCATAGTGTTGACCCTTAGCTACTTGGGTGGTCACAGGTCAGAGATCAACGTCTACCACTACACACCCTCCGCTGCTTTAACCTCCTCACCTCACACACCCAATAGACTTGTCCGCCATTATCATAATCCGTTTGGCAGAAAACAATCAAACGCGAAGATAAGGTTTCTTTTTTCTTATTCTCTTTTCGTTTTTTTCTTAGTCGTTGTCCTACGTTATTCAGGATTACCGGGGAGTGAAAGTATCGAAATATTTGTGTGAATTCGTCTCATGAGGACAAAAGGTGTGGCCGAGACAGAGATAAACCTATGTCATAATTGCCGCTATTAGTATTGTGGCAGCCATCTTCCTCCCCTCACCAACAAGTCTCTCCCCCGACTTTTCCCCTAATATTGTGTTGGTGATATAAAAGCGGATTCCCGGTGCCATAGTTTTACAGATTATTGGATACACATACACAGGACATGATGCAATTTTACGGAAGCTAAATAGTCTGGATAGCTTACAAGAATGAGAAAGGAGTGAAGGAATGGATGTAAACACGAGATAGAAAATTCCTGTTGATTGCTTGCTTGCTTGCTATCCCTCTTCATCAACTAATTGCCTCATTGTCTCCAGTCAACAGTTACTTACCTGTTCCCGCTAGTCTCCAGTCATCCTTCTACTCACTGAATGGAGTCCTACACCTTAACATCAACAGGGTAATGATTGTATACTCTTTCCGGTCACGTAAAAACTAATCACTGCTCGCATGTTCCGCTATCGGACCAGATAGCTAGATAGATAGATAGATAGATAGATAGATATTTAGTCAAATCACCATAAACGTTCAGATTGGTTCAACATGTATATAGGATGTTCCAGAAAAATATCCCTGACTCCCTCCCTCCCTGTCTGCTCCGTCCCTCCAACTCACAGTGTCTCAGGGACCAGGCAGGGAGGGAGGCAAGGACATTTTTCTGGTACACCTTATATAGGCAGTGCAGGTACACACGCAAGGATAAACAGTAAGTTATCTGCTTCAACTATGTGGATCTTTAAGAAACACAAAACCATAACACCCAGATGATATCGTGAGTGAAATGATCCGTGGAGAGGAGGAGATGCCAACTGAATAGACCAAATGAGCTATAATGAACCTACTCCGTCAATGTCAAAGAAAACGGACGGAAGAGACAGTGAAGAGGGGGAGGGGTCACTCCTGTAGCTGTTGTAATGGTGAGGTTCGTGTGATGATGGAGTTATTTTATTGTAATGGTGAAGTTATTTGCTGTGATGGAGATTTTGTTGTCGTGATGGGTAGGTGTTTTGTTGTAATAGAGACGTTTTCGTTGTGATGCTGAAGTTTTACGTTGTAATGGGCGTTTTTGGTTGTGATGGAGATGTTTTTATTATTAAACACAGAGAGAGAGAGAGAGAGAGAGAGAGAGAGATAGAGAGAGAGAGAGAGAGAGATAATAGCGTGGATAAGGGTGAAACTCGCAGAAACATTAAGTACAGTATGTGTCACTTCCTACAATACTGTATAGGGTGGTGCATAAGTCGTTTTACTGAGCACAATTATTGTATTGCAGTATTGCACTATTCTCCGTAAAGCGACTTATGCGCCACCCTGTACAACACTGTATGAAGTAACGCAATTAAGTTATTTTTTTTTACTCGTACTATTTTTTTTAGGTAGGATTTCTCGTGATTATTTTCAATATTTGTAGCCAGTATCTTTACTTTTGTTAATAAGCTACTTCGTGATCTTTTTAAGTTAAAGTTTTAGTTTATTATAAAAGACTAACTATTGTAGCCTTATCTACTGTGAATAATGTCTTTTATAACGCTGGTTTACTCATTATATACGGTACATTATATACGGTACATTAATGCCCTGATCATAGGTTGACAAGAATTATACTTGGAAACATAAGAGAATCCCACTTTACATTGTTAAAAAATGAATAATCGAATCATTAAAAAAATATATTTGCCTCCTAAATATCAACTAAATATAACATTAAAATCATTAATATCCGTAAGAGAGAACCAGAATTGACGATTAAAGGCCTTACTTGTTGAAATGCAGTAACATCATAGCATCAACATCAAAACTATCCACAACATAACACAGCGCCGTTGGTGAAATCGAGTGGCGAACGATCCCACCCTTCCATCTCCTCGACCCAGCAGTCCCTGACAGCACAATGGCACCAGTGGTCATAAACGGAGAGTCTAGGGCAGCTATCTACAGGTTCAGGTGTACTGTGTCTTGAGCACCGTACAGTATAGGTTCCAGCACCTATACAGGAGGATCGGAAAAGAATACCCAGAGTGTAAATGGTTATGTGTTAACGCCATGATCCGCTTCCAGTCCTTCATCAGGTGTGTCGAGATTAATAGGTGGGAGGCCATGAGAGACTGATAGGTAGGCGGCCATGAGAGAGACTGACAGGTAGGAGGCCATGAGACTGACAGGTAGGAGGTCATGAAAGGCTGACAGGTAGGAGGCCATGATAGACTGACAGGTAGGAGGCCATGAGAGACTGACAGGTGGGAGGCCATGAGAGACTGACAGGTAGGAGGCCATGAGAGACTGACAGGTTAGAAGCCATGAGAGAGACTGACAGGTAGGAGGCCATGAGAGACTGACAGGTTAGAAGCCATGAGAGAGACTGACAGGTAGGAGGCCATGAGAGACTGACAGCTAGGGAGGCCATGAAAACTGACAGGTAGGGGCCATGATAGACTGACAGGTAGGAGGCCATGAGAGAGACTGACAGGTAGGAGGCCATGAGACTGACAGGTAGGAGGCCATGATAGACTGACAGGTAGGAGGCCATGAGAGACTGACAGGTTAGAAGCCATGAGAGACTGACAGGTAGGAGGTCATGTGAGACTGACAGGTAGGAGGCCATGAGAGACTGACAGGTAGGAGGCCAGAAGCTAAACACAGTGGTATCATAAAATACGTAAAGTGACCAGAAAAATACCAAAACATTTATCGAAACGTATTGTCAAACAGAATGATTTGTGTGTGTGTGTGTGTGTGTGTGTGTGTGTGTGTGTGTGTGTGTGTTTTGTCCCGAGTATACATTCACTAAACCATCTCATGTAAACCTGCAAACCAATGAATTCTTCAAAACAAAAACAAACGAGCATACAAATAAAGTTATATAAACAAATAAAATGAAATTACTCGTATATACAGCTTATACCCTGATCTTTAACCTACTTAAGGCAGAGTTAAATGTCCTAACTTAAAATGTCTTTGACAATGTCCCTTTCACATTTTCCTCCTCTCTTACATTCTCTTGTTACTTAATTGCTAATTAAACACAGACATAAATCTTAATGTACATGTAAAGTCAAATTTCTAAGCCATAAGTTACGAGACGATAATAATAATAATAATAATAATAATAATAATAATAATAATAATAATAATAATAATAACAATAGTTCACTTTCATACATTACTCCTGGGTAAATTATTAACACACATCTAACTTAACATTCACTAGTGGTTCACGTGTCTGAACAAAGTAGTCACAAATGAACAGTAACTTATGACCGCTTGCTGAACAATGGCTGAATTTGCATGTTCTTGGACGAGTCAGAAGGGGGGTGGGAGAGAAAGGACACCGGAAGATAAAAAGATGGAGATAGGAGAAGAGAAGGGAAGAGGAGAGGAAGAGGAGGATTAGGTTAGGTTAGGTTAGGTTAGGTTAGGTGGATAGTAGACTTAATAAAATAAATCAGAGGCTTCAGCAAGACTTTCACTTGAAGCAATTTGTTTCAGATGAAGGAGACTGACACAGGCAAACAAGAAGCCGCTTTAAACCTCTTATCACGACGAGTTACCTGAAGGTGGGTGTGCCTAGCTGTGTGTGTGTGTGTGTGTGTGTGTGTGTGTGTGTGTGTGTGTGTGTGTGTGTGTGCATAAAGGAACAGATAGGAGGAGGAGGAGGAGGAGGAGGAGGAGAGATACATCACCTAACATGTCTTTCTCCTCCTTTGTTAAGTAAGATGAATTCTTTTCCTCCTTCTGTGTATTATTTATTATATATATATATTTGTCCTTACTTTCTCTTCTCCTCTTTGACATGATACACCAAACACGACAACAACAACAACAAGTTAGTCTAGTCGTGTCGTTCATCTTGTAATTTTCTGTTAATGTCGTTTACGAGTTATGGGGGAAGTTTGTATTTATTTATTTATTTTATTTTTTATTTTCCAAGTTGAAAATACTAAACCGTTGTTGATATGGCGATCAAGTGTAAAAATAACGAGGAAATAGATATGAAGTTTTTAATATTCTTCAATCTAGTGGTTTTGTACACACACACACACACACACACACACACACAACATCAGTGACCCTCTCAGTGTGTCGTGGCTGTAAAGTATATGTACGACCCCTCAATTCAACTCGCATCACCTCACACACAGTTTAATACTTGTTGCACCTGTCCTACTGTCATCCATACTGTCTCTCTCTCTCTCTCTCTCTCTATCACCCTTGGCCGTTGGGTGTTTTACTGCTTATCGTAAACATCTCTTTCATTATGTGTGTGTGTGTGTGTGTGTGTGTGTGTGTGTGTTTCCAGTCTTTACGATTCTACTCGATGCTTTGACTCGGTCTTTACAAATGAAGCAATACAACACCCGCTCTCTCTCTCTCTCTCTCCTTATGTATGTAAATCTCAGGTGATATAAGAGATAGATGTGCCTGCCATGCTTGCTGTTGTTAGATTGGGTTAATTATATGCATGAGTGGGGGACAATAATCAGAGACGTGTCAGTATTAAGTAAGAAGCAGACATCCCTTTAAGCCCTGTTCAAATTGGAGGTTCAGTCAATAAGAAACGACTGGACCAAACCTTTAAATATAGTTATATTGGAAGTTATAGGAAATGTAAGCGAAGTTGTGTATGATGCTCGTCTGGTAGGGTGGGGGGGATATAACGCAATGAATACGTGTGTGTGTGTGTAAACATAAATGTGCGAATTAATATTAGTAATAAGAAAATAACCTGTAAAATTAAAATGTAAAAAAATTAAGAAAAGAACACTTCCTTACGAGCAAAAAAAAAAAACAAGCAATAATTCACTACGAACAAAAAAACTAAAAACAAACAAAAGAAAAACAAAATTTACTATGAAAAAAAAACAAAAAAAAAACACCTTACTTCTCTACGAGTATACACAGTCACGTACCCATAAAGGTTAAAACAGTGTAGGTACTCAGTGGTCCCCTTGAGGAAGTCGTCACTGGGTAGGTTCTTCCCAGTCCATTACACACCGTCACGCTATTCTCGCATTGGCAAATTATCCCCAACTGATGAAAAACGTGACTACTGCAACACCCGGATCATGATAGGGTTCTATATCAAGTACGTCTTTATTTTTTATTATTTTACTACATTTCTTCCTTTTCTTCTCCATGTTAATTCCTTTTCTTTGTCTTTTATTTATTATTGTCTTGCTATTTACGTTTTTCTTCTCATGTTAATTACTTTTCTTTGCCTATTATTTATTATCGCTTTGGTATTTATTGATTTCTTCTCCTTGTTAGCTCCTGTTTATTGTTCTTTACGTACCAAAATCGTGTGCCATTTGCTGCTTTCTTTTCTAATTTTTATCTACGTCGAGTGTCTACTCTGAGAGTGTTGTGGTGAGCCATCTTCACCCCTCTAGAATGGCCAGTGAGAGGTATAGTAGGTAGCCATCTTCACACCCTACAGTGGCCAGTGAGAGGTACAGTAAGTGGCCATCCTCACCTCCCCTCCCAACAGTGGCCAGAGGAGCCGCCGGTCTAGCCAAACTAAGAGATACCTAATTACCCCTGTTAGCAGAAGTCCGCGCGCCGCCTCGCTAATGCTGCCGGGAAGACCTCTGCCGCCACCACCACCTCTTGTTGACTACGTGATGGAAAGTCAGTGGATTCAGGTCATGTGCTAAGTGGGATAATGAGTTGATATTGTGTTTGTTTTATAAAGATCATCTGAAGATTTGTCCCAGTAGCTCCCCCTCCCCCCAGGTTATTTCACTTGAAAATTAACCACCTTACGTTACCTGGGGAAGGTTAGGTTAGTGTAGGTTAGGTTAAATTTTTAGGTTAGTGTTAGGTTTGGTTTGGTTTGGCTATCTTATTTAGTTAGCATTGGGTTATGGTTGATATGATTAGGTTAGGTTATTAAAATTATATTAGGTTAGGTTGGGTAAGATTTTCCAACCGTACGTGTATTTAGAATGTTCAATTAAGACCTAAAGTAAAACCAATACTGTACAATAAACACAAGACACTAATTAAATATAAAATTAACATTCACTTTCCACAAATTGTAAAAAAAAAAAAAAAACCTAAGACATAAATCATTCATTAATATTCGAGTCAGAATAAACCACAATATCTTGAGACAGTGAGGGACACATTCCACAACCTCCTGGAGAGTCGAGGTCTATGTAGGTATAAATCAAGCTAGACAACGTGGTCATACAATTCCATATACAGGTACAGGTATGTGTCACACGGGCGCGTTACCTGCTGGCGGTATCTGGAGGGTAATTAGGAGACCCGCTGTTATCCAGGAGAAGGTGTAGCTGCTTTATGACTGTGCTTGGAGTCTGCAGGTAACCTAAGCGAGTGTGCTGGGTGCGTGTGACTGTGCTGGGTGGTTGTGACTGTGCTTGTAGGTATATACCAATACCTTTAATGACAGTACCATAGTCTGCTTCACACACACGCACACACACACACACACACACACGCACACAAAGCAGTCGGGTGGAAGATATTTTCAGCCTTTGATGATCTTAGCAAGGGAAGACATCAACATTGGAATAAATACGAATAAATAAATAACTAAAAAACGATTATAAATAAAAATCGAATAAATTCGTTACCTTCTGTTGGTTCAGGTTGTTCCCTCGTTTAAACAACAAAAATCTACCAAACAAAATCCACTTATGGTGTGATGACAAAGTGTGTAGTGTGATTCATTCAATCCGCACTACTGAACTGAACTAATACCCACACCACGACTGGCCACTTAATAACTTTCCAAACAGCGAGTCTCAAGATCCACATGATAATTTACCCAACGATTATTTAGGTCAACAAATGGATATCCTGAACCTAAAGTTAATTATGCACTTTCCTAATTTGCATTATCAGGTATTTAGGAGTTAATGGAAGGGGTACAAGGTGGTCTCCCAGGGGAACACACGGGGAGAGGCACGGGGTCGAGGGGTCACCGGTTAAGCTGCCTAGTAAGGGGGTTTCCGGCTACTTAA